CTGGTCACTGGCCCAACTTCTACCTTGGTTAGGCCTTCCTGAATGGAAGGCTGGGTAAGTCTTTGGAATTTTTGCAGCTGTGGCTTTGTTTTGTAATTCTTAGAAAACTGGTTCTTATCAGAGGATCTGCCAATAGTTTGATAACAGTCTATATTATCCACCTGACCCACCTATAGCCTGCAGCTCAGCTTCAAAGAGAGACCCACAGGGAACTCATTACAATGGTGATGGTGATATGTGAAGGAAAATGATATAGATCAGAAACTGGACCTACCTAAAGGATGATCATTAGAGAAGGAATACATGAAAGTAAAATTTGTTATTACAAATTGGTTTAAAAGATAATAGTTTGTTTAAATATTAATAACAATAACATATTCATTAATTATATCATGTATGATATTATCAAATACCATATATGATGTTATATTATATCAAACACCATATATGATATATATCAAATACATATATATTATATGAAATACCATATATTAAATACCACTTATATACACCACATTTAATATATATTATATACCATACATAATATCAAATAGCACATAATATATATAAATATATATTATATCAAATACTAATGACAATAATATATTCACTATTAATATCATATAAGTGAAATGCATGAGAGGAATGTTTTAAGAGATGGGAGGGAAGAATTGATAATACTGTTATGTAATACCACATTCCCAGTAAATTAGGATACTATTATTTGAAAGTGGACTGACTGGTTGTTAAGTATATACAAACAACTTTAGGGCAACCACAAAAATAATCTAAAAAGTCTCTATGTCACTTCCTGGCTGCAGTTAGGAATGGGTTAAGTTCCAAGTCTTTCTTTGGAAACTAGCTCTTTGCGTACTTATTTTCTCATAAAATGGCTCCATTTCATGAATCATAGCTGGCTCTAATTTCATAACAAAGATAAATTTGAAGTAAATTAATATAGACTTAAGTATAGACTTAATATAGAAATACTACAGACTTAAATATAGGAACTGGAACAATAATATATATAGAAGAAAACACAAGCCTTTCATTTCATGACATTTGTAATAAAGATATTTTTGGAGACTTTAGGTGGTAAGGAAAATAAAAGCAAAACAGAACAACTGAGATCACTTCAAATTAGAAGGCTTTTAAATAGCAAAAGAAAATATAAGTAGATTGACATCTTACAGAATAGGAGTAAATATTCACATATTACACAACTGACAAGGGGTTAATAACTGACAACGGGTTAATAAAGACACACACACACACACACACAATCAATTTTAACAATAAAAAACAAGCAACTCAATAAATTGGGAGGGAGAGGATCTGAATACACAATTTACCAAAGAGGATATACAAAAGGCCAAGAGATACATGAAAAAAGGCCCACCATTGCTTTTAGTAGGGGAGATGCAGTGAGAAATGATCTTACTCATGAAAATGGCACATATTAAAAAGACCTAAACAACTGCTGCAGAGAATGTGGAGCAAGAGGAATGCTATTACACTGTTGGGAATGTAAAGTGGGGCAGCCATTTCCAAAAGTGATCTGGATATACCTTTAAGTAGAAATGGAAATAACATATGACTTAGTATTCCACTCTTGGGTACCTTTCCACACAACATGAAACCATCAATTAAAAAAAATATGCTTTACAATATTTATTGAAGCATTATTTATAGTAGGGAGCACATGGAAACACCTAAATACCCACTTATAGAAAATGGATTAAGAAGATGTGGTATATTCATACAAAGGAATATTATTTAGCCATACAGAGGATGAGAGCCATTTATTGCAAAATGGAAGGAGTTTAAGGGAATTATGTGTAGCAAAGCAAGTCAAAATGACAAAGACAAACATTGGACATTTATCAGTGGACAATGTGACAAAGTAAAATACTTATGAAAACTAACAGAGGCCAGTAAATGAAGTGATGCTTCTAAGGTTAAGAGGGAGGGAAGAAAGAAAAGGGTAAGGGGTATAGCAATGACAGTGAGAAAAAAAAATTGATAGATGATTAATAAAGCAGATTGTCCTTTTTATTTTTTTATGAATTATTTTATTTTATATAATTCTTACATCATTTTTCATTTTTGCACAATGTATGCATTTTCATTTTGGTTATATTCCCCATACAATTCCTACCCCCTTTTTCTGACCCTAATGCCTCTTCTCCCCACCAGGCCCCACTGTAGCGTGCCTCTGGTTTATAGTTGCTTGTTGATTTTGATTTTTACTTTATTGCAATTAGTCTTTTTCCTGGTCCCTTATTTAGGTTTTCTAAATTCCTGCTATGAGTGAGACCATCTGGTATTTTTCTTTTTCTTTCTGGCTTATTTTGCTGAGCATGATCCCTTCCAGCTCCATCCATGTTGTTACAAATTGCATGAGTTTATCTTCTTTGATTGTTGAGTAATATTCCACATATACCACATCTTCTTGATCCAATCATCTATTTTTGGGCATTTGGGCTGTTTCCAAAGCTTAGCTATTGTAAATAGTGCTGCAATAAACATAGGGGTGCAGGTGCCCTTTGGAATTAATGTTTCTGTGTCCTTTGGGTAAATACCTAGGAGTGGAGTTGCTGGATCATATGGAAGCTCTATGTTTAGTAGGTCAAGAAATCTCCACACAGCTCTCCATAGTGGTTGGACCAGTTTGCACTCCCACCAGCAGTGCAGGAGAGTTCCTTTTTCTCCGCAGCCTTGCCAACATTTGTTGTAGTTAGTTTTTTAATATGTGCCATTCTCACTGGTGTAAGATGGTATCTCATGGTAGTTTTGATTTGCATTTCCCTGATTACAAGTGATGTTGAACATTTTTTCATATGCCTGTTGGCCATTTGCATTTCCTCTTCAGAGAAGTTTCTTTTTAGCTTTTCTGCCCATTTTTTAACTGGATTATTTTCTTTGTATTTTTTTTTTCCAGTCTCATTAGCTTGTAGATTTTTGTGATCAGTCCTTTATCATTAGTGTTGTATGCAAAAATTTTCTCCCAGTCTGTGGGGTTTTTCTTTGTTTTGGTTATTGTCTCTTTTGCTGTGCAGAAGCTCTTTAATTTGATGTAGTCCCAGCTGTTTATCTTTGCCTTCACTATCAATGCTTTGGGTGATGGGTCTGTAAAGATATCTTTGAGGTGTATGTCATGTAGTGTTTCATCTATATTTCCTTCTATATATTTTATGGTTTCAGGTCTTATGTCTAGTTCTTTAATTCATTTTGAGTTGGTTTTTGTGCATGGTGTGAGGTAGTAGTCAAGCTTCATTCTTTTGCATGTAGCGACCCAGTTTTCCCTGCACCATTTATTGAACAAACTTTAACTATCACTATTTGCAGATGATATGAAAATATGCATAGAGAACCCTAAAAACTCCACAGAAAAACTCCACAGAAAAAGTAATTAAACTAATCAATCAGTTTAGTAAACTGGCAGGATACAAAATCAACATGCAAAAATCAGTAGCCTTCTTATACGCAAACAATAAATCTGAAGAAGAAATAAAAAAAAAACATTGCTTTATTACTGAAACAAAAGAAATCAAATACTTGGGAATAAACCTAACAAAAGAGGTAAAGGGCCTATACAAAGAAAACTATAAAACACTGTTAAAAGAAATAGAAGAAGACACAAAGAAATGGAAAGACATCCCCTGCTCATGGACTGGAAGAATTAACACTATCAAAATGGCCATCCTACCAAAAGCAATTTACAGATTCAATGCTATTCCAATAAAAATTTCAATGACATTTTTCAAAGAAATAGAACAATTATTGATGAAATTCATATAGAATCAACAAAAACCCTGAATAGTCAAAGCTCTCCTAAAAAAAAAAGGGGGGGGAATGGAGGCATCACACTCCCAGATTTCAAGCTATACTACAAAGCCATAATAATCAAAACTGCATGGTATTGGAACAAGAACAGACACATGGATCAATGGAACCAAATAGAAAATCCAGAAATAAACCCACAGATGTATGGTCAACTAATCTTTGACAAAGGAGAAAGAATATGCACTGGAGATTGTCCTTTTTGAATGAGCCTCAAAAAAAGCTTTCCTTCACACCTTATTGATTAGCTAGAATACACAAAAATAAAGTTAAAAAAGAAAAGTATTAGTGCTTTTTTTCAGCTCCAGATTCCTATATCCAACCAGCTACTGAAACATCTCACGCGTATCAAAAATGCCTAAACTCTGACAGAATTGAAATTGTTCTTTCAGAGCTGACCTCTCCTACCTCATCTTATTTCACAGAACAGACTATCACTTTGTGTTGAAACCAGAGTCTTAGAGTTATCACAGAATTAGAATTTACTACCTTCTGTAGCTTTTTTTGTTAACTAAGTCCACTTTGGAATTTACTTCTCCACCTCCCTCATCTCACTTCTTTGCATTTCCAGTGGTTGCTACTCAAGACTCCGACCTCTCCACTGCTCCGCAGACATAGAAACTGCACTACACCGTCCCTCACTGAAATGGCAACAATGCTGGGCCATTTACTCACCGGTATGTGCTGACCCCTTCAGCCTTTCTTGGGTCTCTAACCCCAGCCAGCTCTTCCTAGTCTCCTCCCAGGTTCCAGTTAGTGTTCTTTATGAGTCCTGTTCTCTTCCTGCTAGGTGTTCTTCCTGTCATGTTCCTTCACCTAGTAGCTACTCCTTATCCTTCAGATCTGGGCTCCAGGATCCTGGCACTAGGGAGACTTCTGTTACCTTCCTGCCAAGGAGAGGTCCTAGTGACAAGCACTCAAAGGGAGAGGACTCAGAACATTGCATCTTTATATTTGCTTGTATGTATATCTGATTGACATTTTTCTTAGTCCTAGAAGCAAGGAATTTTTCTGATTTTTTTCCTTATACATCAATGTCTGGAATATGTTAGGCACTTATCAAACACTTATTGAATAAATGAAGAAATGAGTTAATGACTATAAAATAATACAATATTTAAGAAAATACACATTTTCCAACAGGACTGATGACCCACCTCGAACACTGCAAATGGAGTTGTCCTGAGTGAAAGGATTCAGTTCATCAAGCCTCACAGAGTTGGTCAGTTCACAGGAGCTGGCACGAGAGGCCATACCCAAATGGGACTCTAGTAGCAAGAGGACAGTACGTTCAACACAAACAATCCGACCTGCCAACAGAGACACTTCAGATTATTAAACAGTGAAGAAAAGCGTGCTCTTCTGCCAGTAAGACAGTGTCCTCCGTCAGTCTCCTACAAATTACGGGGGCATAGGGGTGCAGCCCTGAGGTCCATGAGTGTGTTCTGTAATATCTGCACTGTGAAGAGGATAGCCTCACAATTCTCAGGATGCTAGATTGGAAAATCACACAGATACTAGACTCAAAGTCAATTGAGAAAGGTGGATTTTGTGCTATGCAGGATTCCTGGGGAAAAAAAGGGCTGACTGACCTAAGCATATATTTATAATGCAGCCTAGCTTTTTGTTTATTTTAAAAAGTGATGTTCCAGGCAATGTTTTCAGTGACCTCTACACCTACAAAGGGTGTCACCAATAGACAGTTCTTGAGTGATGATGGCATCAATTACAGGGCCTCTTAGAATTGTGGTGGGTTCTGGTTCTATTCTGGTGGCCATGACACAGATCAGTGAAGATCCAAGGAGGATACCATGGGCCTCTTCTACCCAACATGCCATGTGCACAGTGGGTTTTGTGAAGGGATCAGCAGCTCTAGAGCAAGACATAGGCATATGGAACACAGGGGGAGTGGAAGCCATTTTATGGCAGCTCTTGGCGGTAAGTGGGATCAAAATTGTCAAGAAACATACCCTGGTCTCGGAGCGTGTCCCTGAAGAGAAAGCTGTGAGAGGTGGCCTCAGAAAGTGCTTCCTGGACTTCTGGGCTCAGTACACATGAGGAGGACACACAGACCAGCATGGTTTTGGGGAGGTTAACTTTATCCTCATTCTGCATTTGCAGGGTGACATCAGTTACTATCAGCCAAATCTCCCTTTGCTCCGCAAGAAGCAAACTGTTTAGCTACAATTCAAAGACAGAGTCAAAACTATTAACAATGGTTATTGTTATACAAAAAATTATTTTTTAAAAAATAATAATCTTAGATAATTTTTATTATCACTAACATTTTAGATCTCATGCCAACAAATATTTTAAAACACAACAGACTCTACACTCTTGGTCATTAGGCCCCATTGACATGGCTGGGCCTATCTGCTGGGATATATTCTGTCTTCCCCAGCATTACTGTACTTATTCTCTGACCAGGGAGAATTCACTGTTCTTATCCTCCTGATCCCAGGTTTGTATACTGAGAATGCTAATCACCACACTATTCCCTTTCCTGCTACCTATAAGTTTCCAAAGGGTTAGGAATTGTTAACAACTGAATTTTTATGTTATTCCCCCAATCATATGTTAAAGTCCTAACCAGAAATGTGATGGTAATGAGAGGTGGGACCTTTGGAAGGTAGTAAGTAGGTGATTAGGATAGAGCCCTCATGATAGGATTAGTGTCAATATAAGAGATAGGAGAGAGCTTACTTCTTTCTGTTCTCCACATTGGGAGGACACAAAGGAGATGCCATTTTGTGAACCAAGGAGAGGGCCCTACCAAGAACCCCAGCCACACTAACACTTTGATTACAGACTTCACTTCAGAACTGCAAGAAATAAATGTTTGCTGCTTAAGTCACCCAACCCATGGTATTTTGTTATAATAGCCCAAAATGATTAAGGCAGGAATACATCTTACTTCCTGCTTCTTACATCTTACTCAGACATGAGGCAAGGTTTTTGTACAAGACAGATATCAAAAGTTTGTTGCAACTGCAACAATTTTTATTTTTCTTTCCTTTATTATATTTTTCTTTCTTTTCCATTTTCTTATCTGAAATAATTGTAATGCATTTAATGTTACATAATTATTAATAGCATTCTGTCCTTTCCTATTGATCAGGGTTCATCAGGATTCAGTATATGGAAAGGGAGTCAAGGATTTGACTGGGAAGACTTGTGTGGCCAGTAGGGCTGGGTCATGAAAACCTAGCTGGTTTGAGGTTCAGTTGGTGTTGCTGGTCAGGCTGAGGATTCCATGTAGAGATAGTTACTTGGTGAGAAGCTGTTGACTGGGGTAGAAAAGGCAACTCACATGGTTAGGAAGTTGATTACATATAGATAGTAAGAATAAGTTATACTGAGGTAAGTAAGAGCCAGGTTTCTCACTGCTGGATAAGTGTAACAGAATATGGAAATAGGGAAACCTAGAATTAATTCTATGGTAATTGTCCAGAATTGGAGGCATAAAAGCATAAAATCATGCTTTTAGATAGGGATGCAAACATAGAAATGAAAATATTCATGTGTATATGTGCAAGAGTATACAAATACATTTTTTCCTTGCTGTGTCCACTGTGAAGGTTGAGAGGCAACTGCATCCAGGAGCCCACTTACTACTAAGGCCCAGGCTTCTAAGTACCATTCCTTATTAGAATCAAGCAGAGCTCTAATAAGGAATGGTACTTAGAAGCCTGGGCCTTAGTAGTAAGTGGGCTCCTTGAAGAGATGGCTGATTCCAGAGTAGAGAAAGCTGTAGGTGAGTCAAAATCATCACATCACTGTTGACAAAGTAAGGTGGTACTCAAAGAATGATGGAAACATGGGCAAAGGACCCAGAGGTCAATTTGAATCTAGGAAAATATGAGCAACAAAATAAAAGAAAATAAAGGATTTTAACCCATTAAATAAAAACTGACTCAAATGGTCCCTAATGATAGAAATAACTGAATACATAAATAAATCAGCAAAATTATAGCTGAAGGTAGACTAATAAATGGAGAAGGAATGCTAGAATTAGAAAATTAGACTTTATCAGAGAAGTAATTCAGGCAAGAATTATATGGATGCTAAAATGAGTGGATGTTTGATAAGAAATAAGATATTTATATAGTGTCACTTATCTTCCACAAAATATTTCTTACATAGTTATTAATTAATAAGTATGAAATACCAGTTAACTTTAGAGTGGAAAACTTAGAAAACAAGATCATAATTAATTGATAAAATACCACAGCACTAGGACAAATCCACTGTGTTCTCCTAATACAAACACAGTATTTTTATGGGGTGTCTGTCGAAATGCATAGCCTGCACCTATTCATGAGAAAATGTCAGGAAAATATAAAGGAGGGTGTAGGGCAAGGAAAAATGTCAGGCTTTTCTGCCCTCCTGCCATCAGGATAGATGATGGATCCTTGCGGTCCTGAATGCATGCCTGATGGTGGACACCTGGAATAGGGTGTGGGCAGATGGGATTCACCTGGGCTGAGACGGTGCTTTTAATGGCAGTGTCACAGGGACGCCAGGAGAAGCTAAAAGAGAAGCCGAGAGAGAAGCAAGAGCAGAAAAGCAGAGAGAAGGTAGGAGAGCCCGGAGTGAAGACCTGCTGGGGGCTGGGAGGCCTGCCAGCCTACCGGCCCCCCAGCGCCCCTGCCTGCCGTGTACCTGGTAATCCCAATAAAAGACCTGCAAAAACCACTGAGGACTCTGACTCCTCCTTTACCCAGTCTGCTGGATCTTAGAAAACCTGCACTGTGGCCAGTCCTGGCCCTACAGAGGGGCATTCTATTAAGTAACTGGCCTCTATTCTCCAAAAATGTCAAATTCACAAAAGATAAGCAAGATGAAGAAGTATTCTGTTTGAAGAGGAAAGAAGTATTCTGCATGAAAAAGTGACAACTAAGTGCAACACATGATCCTGTGTTGGACTATGGAGTTATAAAGAATTTTTTGGGAAAACTAGCAAAATCACATTTAAAAGTGGCAAAGATTTTTTTTTTTTATAATAAATTTTATTTTTATATTCCCCATACAATTGCAACCCCCCATTTTGACCCCAATCCCTCCCCTCCCGCCCTCTACCCCCCATAGAGTGTCTCTGGTTCATAGTTTTTTGTTGATTTTGATTTTTACTTTCTTACAGTTATTCATTTTCCTGGTCCCTTATTTAAGTTTTCTAGATTCCTGCTATGAGTGAGACCATCTGGTATTTTTCTTTTTCTTTCTGGCTTATTTCGCTGAGCATGATCCCTTCCAGCGCCATCCATGTTGCTGCAAATTGCATGTGTTTATCGATTTCTAAAAGATTATCTGAAGCTGGGAGTTCTGACAATCTTCAAAGATTTTAGATGCGCCTCAAAAATACAAGATTTTGCACTTTGCCTCTTTTTTAATCTCTCGGTGAACCAGAATGGTCTAATTTCCTTTGAAATTATCAAATTTGCTTTAACATTGGGGTAATGAACAAAGTAAAAATTAAACCCTCTGTAAAAAGACACAAGTCAACCAATTAAATCAAAATAGTACTACCAATCCTATTGCTAAAATTTTGTGAAAATCTCTTCACACAAATATGCCCAATTAATTTTTGAGAAAGTAGCAAAAGCAATTCAATGAAGAAAGAATAGTCCATCAACAAATAATGCTGGAATGACTGGAGATCCATATGCAAAAAGAAAAGAAAAAAAGAAAGAATCTTGACCTAACCATATACTTTACATAGAAACCAACTCAAAATGCTTCATGGAGGCTGAGGGGTTAAGTCTCAGCACTGTAATTACTACAGCCTGAGTTTGATCTCCAGCCAGGAGTTAACCCACATGACACAGCAGACCACTTCTGCACCCATAGGTTCTCTTAGCACTATATTTCAGTAAATCCACCTGTTCTGTTTCCCACCCTGTCTCTGGTGAATCCTCTCACCCCCTGCAGCCACTCCCTCTCCACCCATACCCCTGGCCTACATCCCAGTGATTCTATGCAAAAAAAAAAAAAAAAAAAAAACATAGAAATGCTTCATGTATTCAAATATAAAATAATAAATCTTCTAGAAAAAGAACATAAAAGATAATCTCTGGGAACTAGGACTAGGCAAAGAGACTTGACTTGTCTTAGACAAAAGCATGTTCCATAAAAGGAAAATTTGACCACATAAAATATTTAAAAATTTGCTGTATAAAAATCCCTATTAAAAGGATAAGAAGAAGATGCCTAGAAATATTTGCAAATCATATATTTTACAAAAGCTTTGTATATAGAATGTATAAAGAACTTTAAAAACTCAAAAACAAATAATCCAATCCCAAAATGGGAAAAGACATTTCACCAAAGAAGCTATATACAGTTGGCAAATAAACAAATAAAAAGATGTTCAACATCATTAGTTTTCTCTCTGTATGAATCTCTAGAGAATTTGTTAATTTAAAAAGCCAATATCAGGCCTCCTTGGTGGCACAAGGGGTTAACTCTCAGCATTAGGAAGCTATCAGCAGCCACTGCAGTAGGAGTTTAATCCCCAACCAGGAAGCTAACCCACATACGATGCAGCAGACCTCTACTGTTTCGCCCACTGCTCTGGTGATCAGTATATTTCAGTTAATCCGCCTATTCTGCTCCCCACTCTGTCTCTGGTAAGTCCTCTCACCACCACCCCCTGCCCCGCACCTCTGGCTTAAACCCAGCTCTTGTATGCATACATAAATAAAATAAATCTTTTAAAAAAGCCAATCTCAAAAGGAACTGATATGAGTTGAATATTGTCCTTCAAAAAAAGATTTGTTGAATTCCTAACTCTAGTACCTCGGAATGTGACCTTATTTGGAAAAATACTTTTTATAATTTAACCAAGCTAAATTGAAATTACAACTGTAATTAGGGCCTAATTACAGTAGGCCCTAATCCAATGTGACCTGGTGTCATAAATAGGGGAAATTTGGATAGCCACAGAGGGAAGACCATGTGAAGACACATATTGGTATAATGTGTCCACAAGGCAAGGAAGATGAAGGACTACCAGTAATACAGAAGCTGTAAGAGGAAATGGAGGATAGTCCCCCAGAAATGTCAGTGGGAGCGCGTCTTTACTGACTTCCTAGTTTCAGACTTTAGGTCTCCAGAAATGCAAGACAATAAATTTCTGTTGTCTTGAGCAATTAAGTTTTTAGACGTCTGCATGGTTAGGTCTAGGAAACTAGGGGGATTATACATATACCACATGGTTCTATTTATGTAATCATCATAAAATATCATCATTATAATGATGAGAACAGGTTAGTTTGCCAGGTTGAAGGATGGGGAAGGGGGCAGGTGTGGCCACAAAGCGGAACACAAGGCAGCTGAACACATTGATTGGTGGAGGTTATGGAAGACTACCCATGTGACAAAACTGCAGAGGTACGCACACATCTGTATGACTGGTGAGATCTGAATCAGTTCCAATTGTGCCAGTATTAGTTTCTTGTTTTGCTATTACACTGTAGTCACTGTGGGTATGGATGGTCACATAGGGGAGGACATACAGGACCTCCCTTAAATATTTCTTTGCAATCTTCTATGAATTTGTAATACTGTGAGTATAAAAATTTTGAATAATTTCATTTAAAAGTTTAAAAAAATATTTTTCAAGTCTTAGTAGTATAATGGAAATACAACTGAATCTTTTTTGATAATTTGGGTAGTTATAATGACTCATAGGGCCATTCTAAAGTTAACTATCACTGTTGCATGTGTAGGTGACTGGCTTAACCACAGAGTGGCCCAGGACTTAGTTTATTTCAGTTATTCCCTGAGGAAGTTATTTTCTGGTGATTGTATTTCCTACAAAAGAAGAATACAGGAGTAAAATGAATTTGAGTGGGACAATCTGTTTCATTGAGTTCTGAGGCTCTGACTATATCCTAACTAAGCACCACCAGTCCCTGGGCAAAATGCCATTGAAGTTCGAGTTTGCTGCAGGCTGCACTTGGGTTGAGAATTTGGGACAGGAGGAGATTAATGCTCTAAACCTTCCTTAGGCAGGTGGAGGTTTAGGGCATTAAACCTCTACCTGGTAAGGCAGACCCAGGCAGTCTTTCTCTGCCCCAAGGTTATACTGCCTGAGAGCAGGTGGTTGAGACATGACTGTGGTGTGTGAATTTCTTTACTCACTTTTCTTTACTTTCCACTTCAGTCTCAGGTGAAGGGCTGTGGGTAGGGGAGGAGGCTCTGGGGGTCAGGGTGTAGGACAGCCTGCTGAAGGGCCGCCAAGGACAGCATTCTATCTGTAGTATAAATGGCAGCTTAACAGTGATCCACTGCTTGGCATCCTGATCCTACAATCTGGAATATGCTTTAAAATGGAATTTTGCCAGGGGCCAAGCATGTCTCAAAATCTCAACCCTGCAGAAGCCAGGTGGAGGAATTTGCAGTTCATCCTTCAGTTCCTTCCCAGTTGGAAAATAAGAGACATATCAAGTACCCAGGTCTTGTCCTTAATGACAGCCTATCTCCCTGCCTGTTGAGCCAGACGTAAGGATGATGCACAGAGAGCACTACTGAATGACTAATGCCATTCACTTCATTCACTCTCTTTTTCTTCAGGAAAGGCACAAATTAGTTGTTAAATGACTAAAAAGTGAATGGAGAAAAAGAAAGGGAAGACTAAGCAGTGGGATGTTCTACATGACTTTTGACTGAAGTTCACCAAGAACATCTCCTTCTCTTGTCTACTCCCAGCTGATCTGCTGAATGGCAAGAATTAAACAACAAGCTCCTCTAGGCTGCAGCTCCTTGGAACTGCCCAGGCCTCCCATGGGACCATAGGGCTCCTTAACTGCTGAAGGTTCTCAGATTCTTAGAAGTGGTAGAACTAATCCTGTCATTCCCACTTTCACCCCATAAATGTGATTTTGGCTACTCTTTGCTTCCTTCAACGTGCCTATGAGTTGGGAAGGTATTAACATTACTGGGCTGAGAATCTTTCAGGAAGAGCTGTACCTGGGCAACTGTTTCATATCCTAGTATTTAATACAGTGACTGGCAGGCCACACCTACACAAGGGCATGCCTAACTGGATTTTATTTATTTAATTTTTTAAACATCCTTATTTATTTTTTCATAATGGAGGATTTCTCCCCTTAGGTGTGGTCAACCATAGTCTTCCTACCACCAAAGTGACCACAGTCCTCCACCACATTCCACCATGCTCCCCTCTGGCCCCCTACTTCCCACTCCCCTCCTGGATGTCTCATGGTTGCTTTCAAGGTCAGTCTTACTGTTTGACTTTATCTGATCTTTTGTTTGGTTTCTGTAGATTCCACATATAAGCGAAACCATCTAGCATTTACTTAACTGAATTTTAAAAGTGCATTTCTATCTCCATACTCCATTAGTTTCTAATAAAGACAATCCTTTAATAAACTTTATAAACACCTTATACATTATAACCTAATGAGAAAAAGAAGTGGTGGGGGAGATTACCTTCGATCTTTGATAAATCACTCTGGCATAGAAACTGCAACGGGTACTGAGATCAGCAGTCTGGAAGGCATTGCAAAAGATTAGTAACCTCACATAAAGTACACAAATACAACAAACATAATTGAAGAACTTGTTAGAAACAATGATATTACCTGGAGAATTTCTCTTAAGAGGCGGGGAATCGGAGGTTGGTAAAGCTTAGAAATGGGGTCTTCAATTATGTCAATATTTCCCAGATTTGGATGAGCAGTGAGTATATAACAAAAGCTAGGAAGGGGTAGATGAGTTTTTACCTGTTTAAAAAGAAGGCAAAAGTAGAAGTTTAATATATTGTTTAAGGATAAATACGATGTTGAAATCTACTATTCTATATATACATACAATCATAGATATTACTCTCTCTGGACAGTTCGATAAGAAATGGATTATGTTGTTCATCTCAGAGACCAAGTATAAGAACTTCCATACTTTTGAATTTATTACTAATTCATGATTTCATTTCGAAATGTATTCTTCAGAATATATTGAAAATACCATTTAGAAACTTCCTCTTAATCTAGAAATGGGCCTTCCTGGTGGCCCCTTGGTTAAGTCTTAGCACTATCACCACTACAACCTGAGTTCAATTCCTGGCCAGAGAGCCAACCCACATATGGTGCAGCAGACCTCTCCTGTCTTGCCTGCTGCTCCCCTTAGCAGTGTGTTTCAGTAAATCTGCCTGTTCTGCTACCCGCTCTGTCTCTGTTGAATCCTCTCACTCCCTATACACCTCTGGCCTATGCCCTAGTTCTTCAATGCAAAAATAAAATAAAATAATTTGGAAATGGGCAGTTTTGACAATGATTAGCACAGTACAGAGTTGATCTCAGCTACCCCACACATGCGATGGTCAGCTTGGGGGATGGCCCAAAGCAGGCATTACCAGACTGCTGGATAAATATGGGAATGGAGAGGAGGGGACACATTTCAGCCAGTCAGTTTTGCTACATGTGAGCAACTGCCATAAATAATTTGACGAGTCAGGAAAATAGAAAATCTTAGTTCACCTGGCAGTTATACAGATAGTTTTGGATTTTATTTACTAGGTTATTTGAATTTATCCTCCAATTGGTAATTGAATGTTAGTTCTATAGTGACTAGAAGGAGGTAGGGATAATACCCTGTGTATTGTTTAGAATGAGGCTAAGACTCTTATTGACACAATGGGGCACACAGTGTGCTTTAAAAACATTTATTATTAGGTTTCCAGCACAGCAGGGAAAGCAGCCAGAGCTGGGCCTCAGAGTGAGACAGGTGATTCTGAACTTCTGTCCTGGCTAAGACACACTAGACTTGGCTTCTTTAGGGTGTCCACTGTTGGGGGGAGGGGTTGGAAGCTGGGGCAGGGGAAGATACTTGATACCAAGGATATGGTGACAGGGGCAGCTTTTCCGATATTGCATTTACCTCCCCACAGGATGGGCTGGAGCCAGCAGTTTCCAGAGCCACTGCTGGAGGCCACATGGTGTCAATTAAACTGAATAGCCCTGCTGACCTAGAGAAAGAAAAGGTGCTATCAAAGGTGTTGAATAATAAACATCACTTATTAGGCATCTGGTCAATGAGCTGATCATATGGGAATTTGCTTACCAGACACTAACCCAAAGGTGAAGGGGTTACCCTTTGGATGAGAGGTGATTCAGTTAGAAAATACAATGGTGCACAGACATTCAGAACTTTGTTCCTGACCACACAAGAATAGAAAGGAGATTGCTCATTAATAATAATATATCTGCAGAATAAAATATTACACAGTCACTGAAATGGCTATAAAGAAAATATTAAAGGAGTTGACAGATGTTTATGATATCTTGCTAAGTGAAAAGCAGGTAACACATTATAATTTATTATAATTTAATAACTACAATATGTCTCCACATGAGTCTACATATAATGATCAAAGAAGAAAAAGACTGAAGATGTAAAAATGATTTTAGTGTTTATCTGAGTAGAGCTTTGGTTAATATGTACTTCTTAATTTTTTCCAAAAGAGATATTACTCATATAATAAGAAAAATTATCAGTAAATTATCAGAATGAAGAATATAGCTAAACACAAAAGGATAAATATACGAGTCTACTTATATGAGGGACCATCAATAGTCAAACTCAGAAACAGGAAGAAGAGTGTTTGCCAGGGCTTGGAGGGAGAGGGAATGGTCAATTAGTGTTTTAGTTTGGGAAGATGGAAAAGTTCTGAAGGTGGATGAGTGATGGCTACACAACAATATGAAACAATGCTACTTAAACATGGTTAATTCTGTGTCATGTGCATTTTACCACAATAAAAAAAATCTCACTTTATTTCCAAAGGCCTGAAAGAATATATACTATTAAGACTTTTGATTTTACTTTTTTTCAATGTTATATATAATAAGTTATTTGTATTTTTAAAGGCTTGGTCCTTAATAAAGTCACAGATTCTTATTTCTTCCTATACTTAGTAACAAGAATTCTTTTAGGTACTTAGGATCTAGCAGCAACAAAAGGGAAAAACTGAAAACCCGAGAATGAGGGTCTTAGTATTGCTATACAATAAGGTACCAACCATGTCCTCCTCCTTTTGGTTCCTGACACCAATCACAACAGAGACACCCTATTCAGGTGCTTCCCACAGCAAACACCAAGGGTCAATAACACACCTGTGATCTACAGGTTCTAAGTCAATATCAAGCACAAAAATCATAAGCAAAGGGGGAAATTGCAAGCTAAAGCAGGTTTGCCTAGAGAAAATGTACTCTCTCCTTCTCTGTATTATTTGAGACATGACAGACAGGCCTGGTGGCCAGGATAGACTGAAAACAGGGAGAGCTGCTAAGGAGGGTACAGAGGTTAAACCATTAACTAGGTTTTATCAAGTGTCACCTCTTCCCTGTGAGGTTCTCCTGGGACATCCTGTCACAGCTGCTCACCATGTGCCAAACACCTCCTGCCCCCTACTCTTTCTTTCCTCTTAGTACAACATCTGAATCAAGTCCTGCTACTGTCCTCTTGATGTTGGAAGCACATCCCTTGTGCGATGGACATTGATTTGGTCGTTGGTATATCTCCACTGCCAAAGAGAGGTGTCCAGTCCAGACAAGGTGGTCAAAAGACATGTGAGTGAATAAATGGCAATCATACACCACCACAAACATCCACACAATTCATTGGAATTAGCATATTTGATACACTCACTTCCTAACTAGTCTAGAGAGAGAGGAAATGTCAGAAGGCAAACAATTTTTACACTAATAAATATCTATCTATTCTTGTCCTAGATCTGACTACATTGCCAGGACAAAGCTAGACATTACTCAAGTCCCTCGAGTAAAAGGGAAGTGGTATAGCATGGACATTGGAGACAGACCTGTATCTATGCTCTTTTACATGCTATGAAAACATTCACATGTGAGTGAATAAATGGCAATCATACACCACCACAAACATCCACACAATTCATTGGAATTAGCATATTTGATACACTCACTTCCTAACTAGTCTAGAGAGAGAGGAAATGCCAGAAGGCAAACAATTTTTACACTAATAAATATCTATCTATTCTTGTCCTAGATCTGACTACATTGCCAGGACAAAGCTAGACATTACTCAAGTCCCTCGAGTAAAAGGGAAGTGGTATAGCATGGACATTGGAGACAGACCTATATCTACGTTCTTTTACATGCTATGAAAACATAAGGAAGTCAGTTAATTCTTTAACTTTCCATCTCCTTTTTTCTGAAATACAGAGATACCAGTACCTAGCTGTTGATATTGTTGCAAGGAGTTTACAAAAAAAAAAGCATGTAGAGCACCTTTGAGGATTTCTAAGGTTGGAATAAGTACTCAATACATGTTAACAATTTGCTTTTCTGAGTAGTATGTGGGCCAAGTAGGTCTGCCGGAGGCTCTGAACCTACCTTTCTGAACTGAATAGAGAAAGGGAGGGTCCCAACATCAAGGTGAACTTGATGAATAAATTATCAGGAAAGAGTGGACCCTGCGCCATTATTGGAAGCCAGCAACCTAGCAATCCCCTTTTGGAACTGAGTTGAGAGAGGGAGGGATCCGCAAACAAAGGTGAGCAGGAAAGTGTGAGCAGCAGCAGCAAGGCTGTTGGAGGCCCTGCACCCCTCTTTTGGAACTCAATGGAGAGGGAGGACTCTGCCATGAAGGGTAATTGTGGATTCCAACAAAGTGTGGCCCTGCCTATAGAGCTGTCAGAAGCCAGGAATAGCACCAATCAACATATTCACAGCATCACTACCCTTGTGGAATCTGCTGTAACAGTGCTGGTCTGGGTCTGGCCATGAGTTCATGTAGTCCCAGAAGAAGCACCCCAAGGAGATGCCCACCAGTACCAGTAACAGAGTGGCTTAACACATAGAACAAATTAGAAAACAATAGGGGGAAGGAAAAATACAAATAACCAGGTAAGTCATCTGGGGAAGGTCACACCACAAAAAGACAATCAGCCACTAGAACTGAACAACAGTGACATGGAAGAACTTCTCTACCTTCTAGATACCGAATTTAAAATCATCATGATTAAAACACACAAAGAGGGCCTTCCCTCTTTGTGCAGGCAGTTGAGCACATTACTGTGGGCTGTCCACGGCATCTGCAGTGCTGGTTCCATCCCGGCTGGCCAGCGAGGGTCCCACATGGAGGGGCAGACCTCTCCTGTCTCGACCGCTGCTCCCCTCAGCAGTGTATTTTGTCAGTCTGCCTGTTCTGTTCCCTGTTCTGTCTGTGGTGGATCCTCTCACCCTCCCGTGCATCTGGCCTGTGCCCTGGTTCTTGTATAAATAAGTAAATCTTAAAAACACACACACACACACACACAAAGAATATGAAAAGGAAAACAATGACATGAGAAATATAATTAATGAACTGAAGAATGAAATTGAGTCATTAAAGAAGGAAATGAAGGATACACAGGAGATTAAAAGATTAATGGAGGAGCTAAAGAACTCTGGGGAATGCAACAAAACAGAATTGATGAAAAAGAAGAATGAATCGAAGATACAGATATAAAAGGAACCAAAGAGAAAAGGAAAAGGAAGGATGAAGGAAAAAGAATGAAGAAATAATATGAGAGCTATCGGAACTATCATGAAGAAAGGAAATGTAAGAGTCATAGGATTCCCAGAAGGTGAGGAGAGAGACAAAGAAACTGAGGAACTATTTAAGGAGATATCGAAGAGAACTTCCCAAACATGAAGAAGGAGATGAAAACAGACATACAGGAAGCACAAAGAACACCAAATTACCAAAATGGAAGGAAAACTACAGCAAGACACAACAGTGAAGATTCCAAGAGTCCAAGAGTCAAGACAAGGGGAAAATAACGAAGCTGACGAGGAGGAAGAAACAGATAACTTATATAGGAAAACCAGTAAGGCTGACATCCAACTTCTCTGAAGAAACACTACTGGCAAGAAGAGAATGGAGTGACATAGTCAACAAACTCCAAAACATCAAATGCCAACCAAGAATACTTTGCCCTACAAAGCTCTCCATCCTTTATGAAGGAAAAATAAGGACCTTCTTGGAAAAACAAAAACTCCAGAAGTTCATTACTATTAATCCCTTACTCCAAAAACCATTACAAGTTCTAAAGCTAAAACCAACAGAGGAATGAATAAGAAGAATAAGGCAAGGAATAAAAATCACAAAAAGGCAAAAAATAAATAGCAAAATACAGATGCCAATGTATCATTATTAACCCTAAATGTAAATGGACTAAACCTATCAATAAAAAGACACAGAGTAAGTAGCAGGCTGCATTAAAAAATAAAACACAACCCTCTGTTGTCTCCAGGAAATACATTAACTACAAAGGATAAACACAGACTGAAAGTAAAAGGTTGGAAAACAATCCCACAAGCATGTGGACCAAAAAAGAAGGCAGGAACTGCTATACCTATATCAGATGAAAATAGACTTCAAAGTAAAAAAGGTAAAAAGCAAAATAGAAGGAGACCAAATTATGATTAAGGGGACAGTATATCAGGAAGACATAATACTCAACATATACTCACCAAATGAAGGAGCACCAAAATCTATGAGACAATTATCACTAGCTCTGAAAACAGAGAAAATACATACAAGGAGACTTTACCACTGACTCTAACCATTGCACAGAATGAGACAAAAAATAAACAAGCCCACTGGAGACCTAAATAAAAACCTAGATCTCATGGGTTTAACAGATATCTATAGGGTACTGCATCCAAAAAAATCTGAGAACACATTTTTCTCATGTGCACAAGGATCATTCTCCAGAATTGATCACATATTGGGCCACAAGACAAACATCAAGAGATGCATTAAAGTCAAAATCATAACAACTATCTTTTCTGATCATAAAGGCATCAAACTAAAAATAAAACAATGAAAAGAAAGCAAAGCACCCTCCAACTTCATGGAGATTGAAAGTCACATTACTGGAAGACCACTGGATTAAAGAGGAGATCAAAGAAGAAATTAACATACACTGAGTCAAGCGACAAT